AGTAGTAGTAGTAGTAGTAGTCGCATCGCTTGCGAGTTCCAGTGCTGTGGAAGTAGTAGTGGTAGTACACTATAGCAGAAACTCACTACTACTACTACTACTACTACTACTACTACTACCACTACTACCCCACAGCGGCAGCAGCAGCACCCCACCACAGACTGGTTGAGAGCTCCTGGAGAGCTGCCTCCAACGCAGCGTCTTCACCACTTTCCCCCCAAACCTGGAGGTCGGTGCTTGCAGTAACGGTTGGGATGGAAGACCAACCGTCACTTTTCTCGGTTCGTCGTAATAAGTACTTGAATACCCTTTCATGCAGGATGGGTTGCGAGGATTCCATCTTTTATTAGAGTCCATGAGGCTTTTGAATGGCTGGGCTGTCGCGTGTGGTGCTACGTCCGGGAGGCCGCGGCACAGTTTCATGTTGTGGGTTCCCGTGACCTTAGAGCTCAAGCCAGATAGATGGCTTGCAACGGACAGGATCCAGCTTAGACGTCGGTCCAACTTCCGTGCCGAACGCCGGGGCTGGCATCTTGGAGTCTCAGCTCCTCCTCTTTCCTTCATGATCCCATCCGAGGCTGGGACCCACAAGACTCCACAGCGCACCTAAGCAGTCAGACACGCCGTACGAAGAACACACATCAGGTCGTGCAGTATAAGTTCAGATCAGACGAGGACATCAAACTGTCTGCCTCTGCTCGCACTGTCTGGCTTTCATGAAAGTCAAGTATATTGTACAACATACCATACTATAGTCTACTCTACTCTACCCTGCTCTACTCTGTACTAGACTCTAGACTCTATACTATAGTCTATGGTAGACTCTTGTCGTCTATACCATGCCCTGTACCATACTCTAAACTATACTCTGTATTAGATTGCATAATATATTATACCAGACGATGCTATAGCACACCGCACTATTATCGCAGTATCATATTACAGCTTTATGTTATAGCACATGATATTATCCTATGTTATATACAAGGCTATACTATATTAGATGGTACTGCGTGAGATTGTAGCATACTATACTGAGGCATAGTATCGTGTGCTATGCCATAAGTAGTGGAACAACATATAATTAATGTCTTGTCTATTCTGCCATGCCATAATTTAGTACACTATGTTTAGATATGTTATACTGACCTACATGTTATAACAGTTGATAATACCAAGTTGTATTGTAACAACATTGTAATATATCGTGGTCCAGGCATAATGCGCTTAATGCATTAATGTATTGTAGATGCAAATTTGACTCAGAATTAGCATATCTTATTATGTAACGCTCCAAATATTGTGATACTATTTGCATTTATGATCTTAGATAATCTCTGCTATAATACCAAGACCAACGGATTCTACAGTCTATTCCATTGTGTTGCATCATACTGTATTCTACTTCCTCTCTAACCTAGCTCCCTGGCCTGTGCCGGTCTCGCCGAAGCACAGGCGCGCGCATTCTGTTGCAACTCTGGGAACTTCTCCTGCAAAGCGGTCTCGGCTTCAGGGTTCAGAGTTTAAATGGATTTCAAACCAATGCCACCAGCTGCATTCCGCTTCTTTTTGCAAGGCGGGCTCTTTGACGCGTTTCCTCATTGCGGCTTCCGTGACAGCCTGAGTGCATTCACAAGTAAGATGCAGGATTTGCCGCTTTGGACTTTGGAGCTCTGTCGACTATCAGCCTGTTTCACTCGATCACCGTTGATGATGGCTTGACCCTGTAACATTCGCAGGAAGATGGGTAGGCCGTGCTAGCCGGTTTGGGGCCTTCTCCCAACAGGGTTTTGCTGGTTTTTCTCTCTGAGATCTAGCTGGGCCCGGGTATGTGGCGGCTTCTGGTTTTGCAGGGTGCCAACTGCGTATGATGCGTCAAGTGCTACTAGCGAAATCAGGTGATGCTTAACTGCTACCAGCAAAGCCACTAAACCCTGCCCAAAGCTCTGTCGCGACAATCATCATTGTAATTGGAAGGACAATGCAACGGCAAACTCGCAGCTGTCAGCTAGAACTGAAATAAAGGCAGCACACCCACACAGGCACGCTAGAGAAAGCTTTGCCAAGCAGCTGCCTGGAACCAAGCTTGAGGAAACCGTTCACCGCTGCAGTTCGACGTTGAGAACCGTAAGATTTTGTAGCCCAGCCTGTCCTACTGTCATGCTTTTGTCACTGTACACCTCTCTTGGGTGTGCCTGTATTAACCAGTAATGAAAGCCAGCGCGAATTTCTGGCTCACGGCCGGACTCCGCCTCCACAGCATCGTAGAGCTTGGAGATGGGATCCGTCGACAGGAAACTGGAGCGCAGCCGGCGCCCACTAGGGAGGCGGATAAGGACTTCGATGTTGCACACTTCATATCCGCTTTCCGCTGCGGGAGCCTCACCCGTCACAGCTTCAGCTGGAGCTGCGTTGCTTTCATTGCTAGGCACCGGTGCATCAGCTGTGCATACCTCTGGAGCTTCCGTTTGTGGCCCGGCACATGTTGCCCCGGCTGGATCTGCTGAATCAGCAGAAGTTGACAGCTGAGGCGCATCTGCCTGGGGTATGTCGGAGTGGACCGGCCGCGCAATCTGCGACTGCAATGGCACCGCCTCCACGCGTGGAGGAGGCCCTGGTGGCAAGTAGTCGTCGGCTTGGGGCACTGGTGTGAGGTCCAACTGTGCCTCCATCCTGGGTGTTGGAAAGATTTCGGTGTAGGACACACCACCATGCGGCCGGAACACCAGGCCGTGAATGTGCCAACAGCAAGCAGCCGTAAAGACATGGGCACTGGAGACCAGTATCACGGCCAGCGGACGCAAATATCCCAGCACTCCTGACGGGGAAAGCGCCAAACAGACGGATCCCGGTGGAACGAAGTCAAAACAAAGTCTCATCGCAAAGTGTTTCAAACCATGGTTGGGCCTGTACCAAACCCTTGCCCCCACACGATACTATCCACTACAGGGCAAGGCATCCCTGTTGTGTGACAGCAGTCAGGCGCATGTGTTAGGTACGGTCATACGCCAGCACAGCCAACAGCAGCTGCAAGAAGGAGCGCAAGCCGTGATGCGAATGCAGGCAGATACACACGAGGCAATGCTTGCACACAGCCGCACAACCACCTCCTCATAACACCAAGAGAAGTAAGCACGAGTTTTTTGGAATTTGAGCATTTCAGCAACGATCAAGAGAGGACGAGCAGTCACAACTACCACAACTACAGTAACATCGACTGCCCGCCATCCAACCTGTGGAGTGCGACGGCATGGACACAATGAGGCCCAGTAGGCCAAGGAAGCCTGGAGCTCGGCGAAAATCGAGGCGAGGCTCATCTTTGAGGGAATCATGCAAGGAATTCTGGGGCTTTTCAAAGTGATATCAACAACAGTAATTGCTATAGCGAGAATAGGAGTTCTTAGAGCACTGTGGTTACGGTCTGAAAGGACGGCTGATATGATTTGATCACAACATGGCCTGCGTTCAATCATCTCACTTCTCCGGGACAACGATCGTAAGACTGAAGGCTTGGTGTATTCCCCGAAAAAGATTCCACACAAGAGGAGAAAACAGAATAGCAGCAGCAATTGCGGTCGTGGTCTATCAACATCCAAGTGTCACTCTTGTCACTCCCGCTTTACTCATGCAATCTCATAAAATACGGGTCCGGCCAAACAAGGAACTGTTGAACAGTTGGAACTGTTATGAATCAAGACAACACTCTTGACATCTGCTACTACAAGCCTAGCATCAGCAGGCTTTAGCAGATAAAAAGGGTGCCGAACCGCAGCCACCAAACCAGCCCAAATTCAATCCCAGTCTCTCGCAAGGCATGAAGTTCCCAGAAGCGGCAGCAGGTATGTCCAACCATCGCTCCAAGCCCATTTGGCCCAGTCCTGACTGGTTAGTGTAGTCCACAAGTGCAGAGTGCAGACAGTTTGGGCTATCGCACTCCGGCATCACAACCAAAGCAGTGGTGCCAGTCTCGCGACCATGTTCCCAAGGCTTCACGTTTCTTTGGTAACTCGGGCGATCGGCTCCATACTGACATTTTATGCCAATCCTTCCTCGCTTTATCGCTAGCGCCCGGGCCTCACTCGAAAACTCTGCGAGTAGTGTCGTGAACGTCACCGCGCTTTGCCCCCGCCACACAGGGGTCCACCCGTTAACTCTCTTTTGCTCTTTGGGTCGAGCCACGAGTGAGTCCAGTGCTTGCGCCATAGGCCGCCCCAAACAATGAAGGAAGGGGTCCTGAGAATCGCAGGATGCTCCTGAACTCCAATGCTACATCCTACGCGATGGCACATCCACGAATGCTCCCACCGTGGCTCCTGTTGAAGCAGCAAGGATCCCAGTAAAGCAGCAGCCAAGCCTGAGTTCGATTTTAGAGGACAAGTCATGAAGTCCGCGAATACCCCTGTGCGCAAACAACTCTTGACCGACTGCGGCCAAGAAGCTCAGCACGCCCAGCACATAGAGTCCTGTGAGCTCCACATTCCGGATAGATCCGAAAACATCAGATATTGTGGTGCTGCTTGACAAACATATGATCGCCCAGGTGACAGAAATTGCCGACACCACAAAGTCTTGACTTGCGAGTCTCCTGAGAAGGACAGGAGCACGAAGCCGCCGTAGAAAGCGAAGTCGCAAAGGCGAAGGATGGCAAGGTAACTTCGGACCTGCGAGCACACATCACGCCCCACCCCTAAGATTGAACGAGTTTCGAGAGTCGTAATGCAAACAAAAAATTAAATCAGCCGGGATGACATGGTTCCTGTTTGGCAAACTCACAAACTGTCTCCATACTCAACATCATAACCGACGACAATGGCTGTGCACTGCGCGGATCGTAGTCACAACCGTGTTTGTATACTAACCGGATTGCGGACATGTTGATCAGTTATGAAGTAGGAACATGGTGCAAGCTGAACTCGAATCCCGCCTCCTTAGCATGCGGGCGCATAGGGGCCTCTCCCCGGCCATGTGATGGCATCTCCCGCTCCAGCAGAGACATACCAGCTATGTGCAGAAGCTGTAGCTTAAACAAACGAGGTTGGAAATCAAGCGTGGAAGCTACGATGCAGAAACCACCACAATGAGAACGGCGAGAGATGGGCAGCGCGAGTGCTAGTCAAGCTGCTAGTCTCGGACTCTTGCTCCGCATAGAGCCCTAAGCCTAGCACCTGAAACTACCACAATGAGAACGGTGAGAGATGGGCAACGCGAGTGCTGATCAAGCTACTAGTCTGCTAGTGCTCCGCACAAAGCCCTAAGCCTAGAACCTGCACGGATCATATTTGACTTCCTAGCCGGACCGTTCGAAGTTTGCAGGAATTGAAACTGCCACTTGCAGGCTCGGGCCAGAGCAGCGGCGGCACTCTTGCTCACGCTCCTTCGCGACTACGTCGGGATGTTCTGTAAGTGAGAACTGTATATGCCCCCCCCCCCCCTTGAAGCAGCCCTCAACTCAACTACGACAGCCTCCGTTGCTTGCGGGATGGCCGTGACCTTGCCCTCGCCGTTGAACCGCCACCCGTGGTAAGAGCCTCAGAACGCCAGACACGAACGCAATCGACTTGAGACGGCACTCCGAGAACTAGAAGTTGAAAATTTTCCATTCACAGCAATGCAGGGTGGCAGAGAGTTATGCCTGTTGTATTTCAGCACGATATTCCTGTTTGGTTCGTTCAGGTTTCAGTGCTATTGGGAGTTATGTCGCTTCAGGGTTCAAGGTTTCGGACTTTCGTGCTTTACGGGTTGAGGTCTAGCGCTCATGGTAGGCAGTTGGCCCCGCTCGCCGGATCCGGGTTCATCAGAGGCCACTTTTTCCTACTTGTATCAGAGGCGACAAGTAGTTGGGGGATTTGGGGTGGGACATGCCCTGCGACTGTGCCGACTGACATACTGCTCTCCGAGAGGCACATCAAAGTGCCGTCTTTTTCGATGCGGCCCTCACCTCGGGTGGCGATGTGACAGCATCTGGACTTTTGATGGAACACCTGGAGCCGGAACATCGGTAACTTGCTGAACCCCCTGCAAGACTCCCAACCCGAACCCTAAACTCCGCAGCCCTCTTTGCAGCAGGAGCTCTCAGTGGCACAGCTCGGTGCGGGCAACGATCCTGGCGAGGCTGGCGAATCATGCTCAGATTGCTCTGGGAGAGAGAGCGGGAGAGAGAGAGAGAGAGAGAGAGCGAGAGAGATAGATAGATAGGTGTATATATATATATATACATATATATATATATATATGCATATTGACTCGAAAGGTCCAAACAAGTTGGTTCACAAACCTTACACCTGTGACGGTGATCACGTCTCGGGCGGCTATGGACGTAAACATTGATAGCGACCTTGCCGCTAGCTGTTGTAAAATAACCCCAAACGACCAAAAATCCCAACGATTGCCCGGGCGAGTGGCGGGAATCTAGAGACTACCTCCCTCCAGACCTTTTCGGGGACTCGTCACACTGCGTGGAGCAAGTTGTGGCCGTGGTTGCCTTTGCATTCCATGAACGGGCCCCGCTCGCTTTGCAAGGTCAGTCAGCTCCGTCCTTGCCGTGAGACTCTTGGGGCACCGTACAGCCAAGAAGCAAACACAAGCAAGGGTCAAGAAGTAAGCATGCTGCGGTTTATAGCTGTGCTGCTTTACATGTGGATGTGCCTGCAACTGGACATGTGCATTCAAGCCCCCTGCAGCTGGCACCGCGGGCCACATTTGCCGGCTCGCTGGAGCCGGCTCATGCTGAACAGCGCAGGCCCACGGATGGGGAGCCCGTCGCCGACTGTCCGTGGGCCATTTCGCCCAGGATGCCTTTTGGCGAAGGGGTCAGTTTCCCCCAAGTCGAGCACCTTTGGCTCAAGCCCAGCCCACTCGTGGAGCCGGGCAAGGATGTCGTCATAGCCGTCCTCTTCGATGGTTTCGTGGCTGTCGTTGCCAGGGCCTTGGCCCACCGACTTCCAAAGCAAACCAAACTGGAGGAGCAAACGACCTGCAGCAGTTTAACGAGTCACAACCTGAGCTGCACAAGTCTTGCAACTTCGGTGCAGTCCAGGCGTAAGGACACTCTCGTCCCTTTCACCTGCCAGCCGGGCAAGAACCCCGTTACACCGTTCAAGTTTCGCTTCCGGCACTGGGTTTTCAACACTGCACTTCATTGGCACCGAACACGAGTCCCGCACCGGAGAGCAACTAAAGCCGCTCTGCAGGAGCGTCATCACAGTGCCTACATCTTCTGCACCGCACCTTGTCGACACGAAGAAATGCCAGCCAGCAACCTTCCTTGAGCAGCTTCCTGTCCGAGTCAGCGCAGTGAATCCGAGGGCATGGAACCCCGAAGCTACGCAGGTCCACTCTAAGCTCTGTAAGATTGTCCTCGGCACTCCCTTCACGTGTTTCCATCGAAGCAATCCGCGAACATCCGCATCGATTTCGACTAGCAGGCCTTCGGCGCAGCAAGGCGAAAACGGCTGAGGCTCATCCATGTCAGGGGCAGCGCAAGCCACCACCACAATGACCAATGAGCATGTCTTAGGCTGCCAAGCAGAAGTCAGAACCGCGAGCGAGCGGCCCAACCTGAAGGCCTTCACAATCCGGCCTTGGTGCACAGGCATTACGCACTGCTTCTCAAGACACAGCTTGTGTTTGGCCAATGCTCCACGGTCGGCCAGCCACGGCTTCGCATCAGAATGGTATGAATGAAAAACGAGTCGCCCTCATACATTTTCTCCTTCGAAATGGTCGCCAAGAAATCCCCGTCTGGCAAGCACACCTGCGCCTGTGACACTGACACGCGCACTCTCAGAAACATTCGCCAGTAGATCCAAGAATGCCGAGATTGGTCCGCCTGAGCCTGCTCTGCCGCTTGTGCTCTGGCAGCATCCACGGCGCGAATGAATGCCCGGTTCGCAAGCAGCCCATCGGAATTCGACGGCGCAGGCATCTGCTGAAACCTGCAAAGCAGAACTCTTCGAAGCTGCGACTGTCCCAAGTGTAGGGTGGTTCTGCCCGCGACATACAGATACAGGACAGCCAAGGAACGAAAGTCGTGATGATGGCATGTCTACCTGCCAGGCAGGCTGTGCTCTTGCGGACTGCGACAAGGAGCCCACTTTGGCCAAGCTCGAAACATGTAGCTTGCAGCTCAAGGTCCCAGCAAGAACCACTCTAGCTGACTCTAGCTCGCACGACCAAAGCCTCTGAAAAGCTCTTCGGAAAGAAGAGGATTTCCTCCTGGCATGGGAAAGTGTTGTGTAGTACACACTCGACGGCAACCATGAGTCAAGACAGGAAATGCATCGAGATCATAATCAATATGTGCACTCACAAGCATGTCGTTCTGACACGGCTGTGCAATTTGTGCCAATTGTCGGCTGGACCAGGCTAAGTCCAGGGTGGGAAGCGGAGCTGCTACGTGTGAAGCTTCCTAACACAGAATGTGAAGCGAAACCTGTGGGCAAAATCTCCAAAACGCGAAACGCGCCAAGAAAACTATATTGGCATGTGCCAAGCCCACCGACCCTAATTACCCCACCAAAACCTCACCGGGCCAAGCACTTACGAGGTTCGCTCTACGACAAGATGACCCACTGCCTGGGAAACTCAGTCTTCAGCGGTCCTGCATCGGAGCCATGTCGGGTGCGCCCCGCAAAAACTGCACAATGCCATCCGAGTTTGCCCGGACCGGCCCCGGTCCCACAAACCTGGAACACTGCTCTGGCGCGTGATGCTCAAAGGCTCTGAGCAGCAGTCTGAAATAAAAGAAGCCAAGGAACGACGATTCCCGGGTCATGGGAACCATCTGCCAGGAGAGATCAGGCATGGTCTCAAATGCAAGCTTTGGTCAAGGGGCATGAACAAAGGCATCCGCTCTCCACCACCACCGCCACCATCAAAACATGGTGGCTCACGAAAACCAGCTAGAGGAAGTAGCAAAAACAAGACTGGACACACCTACATGCACGTGTGAGGCAGGGGGTTGTGAAGATGTGGATGAGTGTGAGGATGACAATGATGGTGATGACGGTGGCAGCGACTGATGATGACGGTGTGGAGGCAAAGCAGGAGTAAACACATCATGGCAACTGAACACGATGCTGCCGCCGACGATGCTCTGAGGCGAAGCCCAGGATGATAACAAAATGATAACAAGAAGGAGGAGGGAGGAGTCGGAGGAGGAGGCGGCAGAGGAGGGGGGGAATGGGGACAAGGAAGGTGACGATGATGATGCTGACGACGACGGTGACCAACAGCCATGTCCTCCTCATGACACTTCACCAACCTCAGAATGTCAGTAAGCTACTTGGCCTCGCTGTACGCTTTCGGCATAAAGACAAACTCGTGCTCCTGCGACAACCCAACGCACTCCTCTTAGCTGGATGTCCGGCCCCTGTCTGGGGGCGGGGTGCTCGAGACAGTTCCTGCCACGCCGACTTATACAACGCAAAGGACACACAAGCACAGTCACACTCCCACACACAAGACTCCTGTTCAGCAGTCGATGCCGCGGTACTGCTCCGCGTGCTAGTTGGCCTCAGCCGGTCGAGGAAATGTTGCGTGAAAGGAGGAACTAATCTGAGCGTCTACACTCTGCACATTCCCTCATCTTTTTGCAGCTGGTGCCCCATGCTGTGGACAAGGCACTGAACAGGAAAACCCACTTTCGAGGTCGTCCGCTGCAGCGTCATGCACCTTGCCACCGTGGCAGGCGGCGCAGCTTCCTTGGGATCCTCCCGCGACGCCATCTTGGGCCACAGGACGGAAAGCACTCGGGAGCAATTGCTGATCATGTGTAGTATCAAATGTCGCATTCTTAGCGAATCCTGCTCTCACACAACAGCCAATGTGCTCAGCTGAAACAGCTGCAGGCGATGGCCAGCACAGGAAGCATCATCTACGCCTATCTGCAAGATCTAATGCGTAAACACTGTCTGTGTATACATATATATATTTTCCATTTCGAGGCGTTCAGTGGTGTACGCAGCACTAATTACGATTGCAGAAACGCCCTTAGTGGCCGAAACGGCGCGGCGAAAGGGCTCTCCCAAAAGTCGGCTGGGGCCTGGACTTCTGTGACCGCTCCTTTCACGATCAAAGCCCAGCCCTTCTGTACTGCTTTTGGGATAAAGAAAAGCGGTGTCTTTACAGCGGCTGCAGTCGCCCGATCTCCACTGAACGCATCATCCGCAGCTTTCCACGATGCATCCAGGATTAACGGAAACCGATTGAGGGTCACGCCTTCATCACCACATTGTCGGACAACCCGACCCCAGTCAATCGCCGCGGCGGTGTCGGCGAAGTCCTTGAAGGTCTGGCATTCTTGCCTGGTACTCGCTGTACCGTGTTGGCATCGTAGCCATTCTTCCTTTCCGGAGAGGGTCCGCATAAGGGTCTGGTAAACCTCCGGGTTCCAGGGGTAGGAGTCGTCGTCCGCCCGCAGCATCTCGATCTCCTCCTGGATGCGGTTGAGGATCTCGTGCTCCTCGAAGGGGTACAAAGGGTAGCCGCCCAGGATCTGCACTGAGAGGTCGATAACTGCTCGCTCGTCCCAGACGCCCTTGTCGAGCAAGCCGTGGCTGAGGGCCTTGTAGGCTGACGTCGCTTCATCTGCCCAATCCTCCCCCACATCGCCACAGATTTCCTTGTCCGCAACCGTAGTCGGGGCCAAATTGTACTCCTCGAAGTCGATCCTTCTACGTTCTTTGCTTCCCGCTCCTGGCGGGGGCTTGTGGCGCGCTCGGCCTGCTTTTCGGATGGCAGCCACACAATCTGGATTGTCCCGGAGATGTGTCACCAGCCGGGACGAGGACCAGTATTGCCTGCCACACGCAGCGCACGAAGTGCCAGTAATACACAGTCGGTATCGGGCCGTTCTGCCATGCACTTTAAAGGCGTGGGCACCCATGCCTCCCTTCGTGCGGAAGTATTTGCCGCAGGCCCGACAATACCATTGCGGAGGTTGCTGGTGGAGGTGTGGCAGCCTCTCAGAGGCTTGCCTGAACATCGCCCACAGTCCCAATTGGGCTACATCCTCGGCGTAGGTCTTGTCATGCCTCCTCTGTAGCATCCGCTTGACCTGGGCTTTGAACTTCTGCGGGTGGTCTCGGATACGATGCCACCAAA